CATTCCACCCTCCCCAAAAAATAAAAAAACACGACCAGCCAGCTGGAGTTTTCAAGAAGAACAACTCCCGCAGAACCAGAACGCGACACGCCGGACGCGCCGACCCGAAGCGCTCAAATTTGGTCACCAAAATGCCAAGGAAGTCAATGTGCCAGCTGCAAAACCCAACAAGAGGTTCTCATAGACCTTCCCATCCAGAGATTTCGCAAGCAAAGCAAGCAAAGCCAGGGGCACCAAAATCAAGCGTGATTTGCCTGTAAGTAGAGGAGGTACTGGTATCTTATTCATTCAATTGTCTAAACTAGGTCACACATTAAGCGACTTCATGTCGAGAATGAGAGGGTCTAAGCGGCTTTGCTTGAACGCCCCATTCTTTTGTGTGTCTCGAAATGAAAGGACACATCACCAGCCATCGATGACCGAAGGGCTCCCGTTTCAACGAAACCAGGTGATCCGGTCGTTGAAGCTGGGACCGCGCTGCTGATCCTCGTCTGCCTCGAGGTTTACCTATCTAACCCACACTCATCAGCACAAGGACATAACATCGTGCTGAACATGCTAAAGAATAACGCATTGTGGTCGTCTATCTTCTTCACCTAGAGGCCATCATGCCCATAAATGAACAAATGGCCCTTGGCACAAAACGGTACCATCCACACTGTCCGGAAACATAAAGATCCAACGCCCTGAGTCCCTCTGCCAAACATTATGGCGATTGTGGTGACCGCATCCAAATTGGGAGCCACATCCAAATTGTGTTTAATCTCGGCCCCGCCATCATCTTGGCAAAATCATCTTGAAATTCTGATGGGTTTACGTGATTCAAGCTTGACACAGCCACGTGTTCGCCACAATATATATATATATATATCACATATCATATAATTAGGATGTCATGATGTCATATATGGCTTCGACTCTGAACCAGGAAACTCCATGTGTCCATCCTGAAACGGCTGCAAGGGCCACCAACGATGTGCATCCTCCAAACAGTGGGCCACGGCGGCGGTCCAGGTCCCGTGCTGGCAGATTGGAGGATCCTCGCAGCGAGTAAAGCCACTGCCTGCGGTGAACGCTTTGGTGGAACGCAACACGAGCGCAACACGGATGGGAGAGTTGGGAGCTCATGAAGAACCTGTTCAACACATCTAGTTTTACAGTTTATCATATGCGTCTTTCTGTGCACTTTCATCTCTAGAGCTTCAGTTTGATGAAATATGAAAAGTCTTTTTTCATTGGAGACACGGCTTTAGTCTCTAAGCACCTAGCTTCTGCGCGTCACCGGCCTAAGCTCCAAGTGTGTCAAAGCACACATGGATCCTCATGGATCCTTAACGCTCGTGACTTCTCCTGTCTCTAATAGGCTCCTCCCAAGCGGTTGACCCAGTCTTCTATCAAACGAAACCTAAACCGATCATACACAAAGTGAAGAGAGATCTGCTGGATGCATGGAACCTGCGTCAGGGTGCAAACTATCAATTCGTTTCCACCTGGATCTTTTTCGTTGCCACCCCAACGTTTTGGGTGCCTGCCAGATTCAAAAAAGAGCCATCCACAAGCGCTGTAGGAGCAATCGTGCATGATGGTTTGTGGCCTTGGCCGCAGCTACGCTGGTGTGCGCCTTGCAGCAAATATGTGCGATCTTTGGATCGCCTTTTTTGGATTAAGTGCGATGATTGCGTGCTGGCAAAGAGATGGTGGGTGGAAATGGCGTAAGAAAATGACCTGCCAAAACAGGTGTAAGGCCACAAAGCCGGAGGGTTTGATAAAACCCTGGTTTTGTGTGTCCATTTCCACAAAGGTCTAGAAAATGGCTCCAGTCAGCTTGAGTGCATGTGGCTGTACTTCATGTTACAAGTTTCTTGATGATCAAAAATTATGGTACTCTTGTATCTCTCCTACTGTTTTACCTTGTCTCAACAGGCAGAATCGAATGAACACCCAACCTGGGAGAAAAGCCCACACTAAGCTCCACAGCAGCGGAGCCACAAACAACGGTGGCGTTGAGTCTGGCAACCTCCATAATCACTTAGATGTGCTGAGACATTGCAGCTCTTTGGCCATTGGAAGTGCAGTAACGCGCAACTCCTACAGGTGTGACCTGGGCAAACTCGACAGTAGAATCCCAAGCTCAGCAGCACAGTCTGCAAGCCCGTAGCCATCACTCATCACTCATCAATGTCGGCCATGGATTCCTACCCTGTAAATACCATGAAGGTGCCAGTGAGTCTACTAGCAGCTCAAATTAAGAAGCTGATTCTGAATCAATGGCTCCGGAATAGGCGCTTTTGGGGGTGGTTTTCACCTGCAAGGGCGGTTTGGATAGTTCTTACCTTCTCTAGCATTCAGTCCTTTTCACGGGCACCTTCAAGCCTTCCACGAAGCTCTCCAAGCACATACGTACCAAACTTTGGTCTATCTCTCTGAGGCTTCATCCACCAGTAATTCACCTTGGTCTATCGGGGACCAGAGTTTCATTGGATCAAACACGGAAGAACCCACGGGCCAAACGTGAGCTCAGCGACACAAAGCCACGTGTCAGGCGCCAAGGATTCATCAGGATGTCCTGGACAAGTCCGGACACCACCCAGTCACCCAGTTCCGTGCGAGCGAAGGTGTGTAACATGCTGCAGGTTGCTACTAGCTTCTTGTTACTACTAGCGTGGCACTTGTTACTACCAGCGTGGCAGGTTGATGCAAGTTGAACAAATCGCAAAGTGTGAAATGATGTTGTACGACCAGCTGCAGATTGGAACATCGAAGTGTTGTGATATGATGTGATATGTGTGTTCGCCCATTCCTGTTGCACATGTCTTGTGAAATGGAGTTGATATTTAATCATTACTCAACGTGTGTATATTATATATATATATATGGCTACTAGTAGGGACCATGACGGAAATACGGACTTTCGGTTTACTCAGCCACTGCCCAGCCAAAAAAAGCTGTTTCTTTGCTTCGCCTTGAAGGCCTGGAAACTGTTGCTGTAGGCGCCCAACTGCAGCCGGAGCTTTGCCACCTGACGACGGAAAAAGTGAAGAACTGTTGCAGCCTGAGACCGTCGAAATAAATCATGCAAACTGCGGACTTTCAGTTTTATACAATGAAACGACCCGACCATATTACTGACCATATTTTATATATACACATATATACACAAAGAACCTCTTAGACCACTGCTTTGATGGCAAAACAACATATTTTATTTTGGATGTCTGGTCCGGTACTTCAAAAGTAACAAGGCCATCAAGTTCGATGATCATTCCGTTGCTTCTTCTCATACGGTGCTTGATGGGATAAAGGGGTACGTTATAGGGCAACCAAACTCTGAAGTGAGCTACTCCAAAGTCAGTTACATCCCAAACTTGGCAAGCTTCTCATTGCGTGTGGGCATCCTACACAGGCCAAGCAATAAGCAAGAAACACATCACCACTTCTCTTGCAAAAATGAGGGATATAAATAAAACATAATCACACGCTAAGTGGCTCCATGGTGCAAGGCACAACTGGTGAGACTTTGGTTGTCCTGGGTGATTTGATTTGGCCTACCACAGCCCCAGAAATAGTTCTCGGCGAGTTCTCAGGTACTGAGCAGGAGAAGGATTTTGACACATTGACATTGAACAAATGCCGACAAACAAATCTGCAATCTCAATCTCACTTTATTTAGCTATATCACGACTCCCACACATTGAATTGCACAGGCATCCAAACCTAAATTGTCTTCAGACTCAATTTGGGAGCTTGAAATACACCAACCAATCATGGTCCAATGTGCAAAGTGGATGTCAATGAGCATGATCTTATGTCGTAAATCTCCTGGTCATCCTGACCCTTTGTAGCAAACGACTGAATCAATAATTTAATATGAATTAATCATTAATAGACTCAAGAGGTGGTGCGGCTGCAAACATACTCTCAATGTCATTCCTCCGCTGCCTCGACATGTATTTTGATGTCGCTTCGCCGCCCTTGGTGATGGCCACGCCGCCATTAGTGGCACTGAGTAATTTGCTATTTTATTTTCGTGCTCATTCGATCAAACTCTTTGTTCGCTCGATTTTAGAGCATCAAAATGCTCACAGAACCGTTTCCACTCGGCCATGCTGACAGCTCTTGAGTTCTTCAACTTCTTGTGGGCGGCACTGCCCGAATTTTTCAATTGACCAGAAAACAAGGGTACGAATTCCGCAGCGTGTGCAAATGTGCACAATGATGTAATCCATGCAGGGTCAAGGCCGTGCAGGGTCAAGGCTACAACCAGAGTTGTAACTTGCTATAACCATGCTGCAACCAGTGTCAGGGTCTGTGAAGGGAGAAGACTGCAATCATGCTCATGACCACGCTACCACCAGTGTTGGAACAACTGTCAACACATTGTATCTGCATGCGAAACCAATCTCCCTGTGTCGAACGTTTCAAGAGGCTTTCCCGAGACTTCGGTGCACTTGGTTCATGTCATGATCGGCGATCAGCTCTTACTTTGGGAATAATTGGCTTTGTTGTTCAGTCGATATGTAAGCACACACACACAGAACATAGAGGAAAAGTTTAGATGTGCAGCAAAGCACAGTTTTTCTTGCTCCAAATCTGCCACATAGCCTGGAACCACGTCATACCGAGTGCCGCCTCCATTGGAAGCCGGATGGCCGAGCCAGCGACCTGACGGATCGTGTGGAGTGGCTGGACATCTCGTATTTGGGCGTCGGCGCGGTCGGCTCTTTCAAAAAGGGCTCCAATGCTCATCAGAACACTAGCAACAAGAAGCTACTAGGGGCTCCTGGCCTTACCACAAGGAGTAAGGACGCTACTAGAGGCTCCTGGTCTTACTACTAGGAGCAAGAAGCTACTAGTAACACAAGAAACTGATTTGCTTTTTGGGTCATGTGATCGTTTGCTCAAGCGAGGGGCTTCAAGGATTCACTTATTTGGGAGCGTCGTTTCCGATCCAATTTCTTAAAGAAATGGCTTTTGTTTGTTGGGGCAAGCCTGGCAAGCCTTGAATCCACAGATGGGGATTTACTGTGAGAAAAGCTAGGAAAATCAATAAGAATCTTGTGCCTGAAGGGGACAAATGCAACACACCTCAAGAAACACATGCAAATGCGTCGTTCCTTTTGCTTTTCTCGAAGTCAACCCAATCATTCAAAGAACCCATCACTCTCGTGGATTGTCTTGACACTGCAAAGAAGGAAAAACAAGTCCTTCCTCTGCGGCAGTGAAGGTGGTCCTCTGCAACAGCGGAGTCGAACACACAAAGTGCTACGGTGCAGCATCTGCAGGGGCCCAACACTCATGCAGTGCCCCTTGAAGACCTTAAAAATCCTTAAAACCATCGAGTCATTGATGAAGCCAAGCATTTGTGGCCCTTCTCCATGCGCTCCCGAAGCTTCGATGACATCCTCAAGCCAAATGCGTCTCAACAAAGACCCTGCATGTTGGACGAGGCAAGGTTGACAAGGCCAGACTTGGAATGCACAAACTTTATTTTGGGATGGCCAAGTGTACTGATCCTCGGTAAATTGATCTCACGCATTTGCAACAACACATCAACCAGCTGACGACCTTTCAGAAAATTCTGAAAATGCTCTAGGGCAGCTTCCACAGCTGGCTCTGCCAATGGTGGTCGAGCTCTAGACTCTAGCACGATCAACAGCATTGCCAGCTGCAACCGTGCTGTGAGCATCAATCCCATCCGAAGCTGCATTATAGGCATTGGCCAAGTGCTCATTGCATCCAAAGCATCCTCTCAGGGCCAATGCGATGCTGCTGCCCTGAACCATTCGTGCAGTACAATTCACCAGCTCCATTAGCAAACTCTCCAGAAGATGGATACCCCTTGGTCGTTAAAACTGCCATTTCACAAGACACCACCCTCCGCTTCACAATTCTTGTATGGCTAACGGGAAAACATCAGGGATCTTGGTCAAGCAGCAGTACTTATTATCCCATGTGTCAAAGCTGAAAGCCGATACAACGACAAACAACCCAAATGTGTAAGCAAGTATATGTACTTATACTTAATTATAGTACGTATATAGGTGCTTAGTATTCATAGATTACCATCCAACACATCCCAACACCTGTTCTGTAGTATCCACATCTCGCCCCAAACGTCGTGCCGCTGCGTCGTGCCTCTGCCACGGCGCCGGCGACGGCGAAGGTCGCCACCGAGTCACCCAAAGGCCCTGGCGAAGGACCCGACGGCACCGGGACGCACCGGTTGGAAGGTATTTGTCTTCTATCTTGTAATCAATGTGGATTTGAGTCATGTTTTGGGTAGAAGCTACTAGAAACAAAGGGCATCGCTACTAGGAGCAAGGATGCTACTAGGGGCTCCTGGCATCGCTACTAGGAGCAAGGTTCGCTACTAGTGACCTTTTCTTTTGTTAGAAAATGGCTTGGAGACTTGGAGTCATGCTTTCGACTTGGAGTCGGTGAGCGGTTCGCTTGTGTGAAAGCAACCCGAACCTTGTGTGGGTAGGGCACGGAACTTCTAATGTTGGATTCCAAATCCTGACGGTGGAGCTGGCACGCTTCTCAAATGCGGTTTCGTACTTGTGTGACTCAAGGCAGGTGCTTCCTCAGTCGTTCGAACCACCCTCAACAGGGGAAGCGAGATGAAAAGAGCGATCCCCTCAGCCAGACTGCAAAATCAAATGAGCGCTCAAATCACTTCCTTCAGCCAAATTCAAAAATGAACCGATGAATTCCCTGGAAAACCATGTGTCAATGTCGTTGAAGAAACGGCGGCCTTCTGCGTCCGTGCTCCACCCGCCTTGGAGCAAGTGGTCTCGGGCGGTGATGTACGCGCTCATGTAGACTGCCTGGAAAAACGTCTTTTTCTTTTCTCCGCTTGGTTCTTCCACTTTGAAAGGAAGAGTTGACGGACAACACACTTTCAAAAAACAGAAGATTCCACCGTTTTCCTGAGTGCAATAGGTATAGGTGTATGATTACCATGCAGGTGTGGAAAAGAACTCACTACTGTGATCGTGATTCTTAGTTCTGGAACACAACGAGTTCCATTGGAACCACAACCGCGAGTCTCGGCATGGAGATCTCATGCCCTTGGATATTCCTCCACAACCGCGCTTTGGTCTTTGGAGTCTTCGGTTTTCTCGAGTCTTCGGTACACGTTTTGCGGCCTTCCAGCCCAAGGGACCCCTCCTTTCTATTGGATCGGTGTTTTCGTTGGTTCAGTGCCGCAAAGGTTTTACAAAAAAAAGTGAAAGCTCAACCGGGTTGTCAACTGTTATCTAACATCATTGTCAACAGTTCAATAGGTGAAAAGGTTCATCACAGTTCGTCCAACCCACAGAACCATTGCTCTAAATCCGATACAATCTAAGGCGTTTCAGAAGCAATCGATAATGTATGACAATGTCATCTTCAGATTCAGGTCCAAAGCTTTCAAGGTCCATACAAACGGTACAGATACCCACCCAGCTCCTGCGCATTCATGCAGTTGTTCCCCTTCGTCGTTTCGCCTGGTAGGGAGAATAAAGAAGAAGCTTCGGCACCTCAGATCAGAGCAGAATGACAGTGCCGAATTGGCAGCAGACTGTTGCTGGATCCATTTGCTTTCTTGGGGAGGAATTATAATGGCCTATACCTAACGGCCGATGGGTACCGAATGTCGACGGTCTAGTGCAACCAGGTCGGAAGCACTCCGAAAAATGGTTCGCGGAAACACTCCAAGTCAGGAGCCCCCAAAAGCAGAAGCCATGCACCTGTGAATCTTGATAAGAGCGATGGCCTCCACCTAAGAGCGATGGCCTCCAACCTAAGAGCGATGGCCTCCAACCTAACAGCGATGACCTCCAACCTAGTAGCGATGACCTCCAACCTAGTAGCGATGGCCTCCACCTAAGAAAACATGTACGAGTGCCCATGGTCAGCACTTGTTTGGACTTGCTTCTTCCAAGGTGGAGGTTTGACGTTTGACTCTCCTCACGTGAGGAAAAGGTGAAACCACTCAGCATCAATGGACAATCTTCAAGAACTAGCACCCCAGCATCTGTGGATTCTCAGACTTGCTTCTTGACCCCCTGCCCATGGATTTCCATCAGGAGAGATCAACCATCGCCTGCACTGCCAAATCACCCTCCTCTGTCGGCTTTCTTGGGCTCCATACGATGCCGCGGTACACACCTGGCAGGACTTGACACAAGGTATACATGCAAACTTGGAGTAGTTTCTCCCACACATTCAGTAGTTTCTTCTTAGCCAGCTGTGTTTTTGTCCTGTTTTGAATAGTTTTTCCTCAAGTGGCCTGTAGGGAAAGGTCAGTTCGGAATAGCGACCCCTTGTGACCCCTTGTGACTTGACCCACCGAAGAACTTCTCTGCTTAAAATCATTCCCAGCGATCTGGAATGAGGATGATATCACACACAATGAAGAAAGGCCACAAACTGGTGCTCCAAAGAGGTCACCTTGAAAGTCCTGGGTGTTTTTCCCAAAAGCATCTCCGATGCTTGGGTTCTCGTTTAGTCGCTAGTGCCGGGGGAGAGCGAGGAAAAGCTTACGTTGTCGGGGACGGAAGATGGAGGTGAAGGTGGACGGGGTTGGGAAGGGAAGAGGGAAGGGAAGGAAGGGAGGGGAAGGAAGGGAGCGAGACGGGAGGCGCACGAGTGGGGACGGGGTTGGGGAGGGAACAGATGGAGGGGAGCGAGACGAAAGGCGCGTGGATGGGGACGGGGCTGAGGGAAGATGGAGGGGAGCGAGACGAGAGGCGCACGGGTGGGGACGGGGTTTTGGGGAGGGAATAGATGGAGGGGAGCGAGACGGGAGGGGCATGGGTGCGGGGCCGGGGAGGGAAATGGAGGGGAGCGAGACGGGAGGCGCGTGGGTGGGCACGAGACTGGGGAGGGAAGATGCAGGGGAGCGAGACGGGAGCTGGCGAGGGAAAATGGAGGGCAGCGAGACGGGAGCCCGCAAGCATCGCAAGCATCATTGCAGGCTGCTCTGGGGCAGTGCAAAAGTAGAACGAAGCATGGGTGGGGGTAGTGCTGCTCCATGCTTCGCGGAGGCACGTGGGGAGGTGAATGGAGCGGTGTTGGGGGGCTGAGGTATGGTCTTGGGTGTCCAAAATGTGCAGAATGCACGCGGCAGACATGGTTGCGTTGAGCACATGGTCGCACCACAAGCATCAGTGCAGGCTGCTCTGGGGCAGTGCGCAAGTAGAACGAAGCATGGGTGGGGGTAGTGCTGGTCCAGCTTCGCGGAGGGACGTTTGGAGGTGAATGGAGCGGTGTGGCTTAGGTATGGTCTCGGGCGTCCAAAATGTGCGCAATGCCTGCGACAGGCAATGTTGCGTTGAGCACATGGTCGCATCGCAAGCATCATGGTAGGCCGCTCCAGGTCAGTGCGCAAGTAGAACGAAGCATGGGTGGGGGTAGTGCTGGTCCATGCTTCGCGGACGTGTGTTGGGTGGTGAGTGGAGCTGTGCTGCGGGGCTGATACGATGGGGTTGGGTGTCCAAAATGTGCACAGTACATGCGCCAGACAGTCAAGGCATGGCCGACACGGGAGGAGCGTTATGTGCCACAAGCGCAACGTGGGAAATGGAACGAACCTTGGAGGGGGCCGATACTGCTCCAGGCTTCCTGGAACGGTTGTCAGAAGCCATGTTGCAATGTTATTGGAGACTAGCTGCAGATTGAAAACAACCAGTTGATATATATTAAAGAAAAAATATAGATATATATATATACACCCAGAATCCGTTTGACACCTTTTTTGACAGGAAAAGGCCATATTTGAGATAGTTGATCCTCCAAAACAGGGGTCACTCAGGTTCCAGGTATATGACACATCCAAAAGCCAACCCGACGAAAGACGGAAACGCCACATGTGGCCCAAACTGGGGATCCGTCGGAGACCGTGCGGCGCAGAGTCGGACGGAGCCCTAGAAGTACGCCAGAGGGGCTGGGGAGGGAAGATGGAGGGGAGCGAGACGGGAGGCGACGGGCTGGGGATGGAAGATGGAGGTGCATGGGTGGAGGGGAGCGCGACGGAAGGCGCGTGGATGGGACGGGAGGCGCGTGGGGTCGGGGCTGGGAGGGAAGATGGAGGGGAGCGAGACGGGCGCATGAAGATGGAGGCGAGACGGGAGGCGCATGGGTGGGGAGGGAAGAAGGAAGGGAGTGGGAGGCGCACATGGGTGTGGACGGGGCTGGGGAGGGAAGATGGAGGGGAGTGAGACGGCGTGGCTTGGGTGTGGGGAGTGCATGGGTGTGGACGCTTGCGCGGCTGATATGCTAGTTACGAGGACATGGTTGCACCACAAGCATCATTGCAGGCTGCTCCGGGTCAGTGCACAAGTAGAACGAAGTATGGGTGGGGGTAGTGCTGCCCCATGCTTCGCGGAAGCACGTTGGGAGGTGAGTGGAGCTGCGGGGCTTATACGATGGTCTTGGGTGTCCAAAAAAGTGCGCAATGCACGCGACAGACGGTCAAGTCGTGGCTGAAACGGCAGGATTGTTGTTGCGTCGAGCACATGGTTGCACCACCAGCATCATTGCAGGCTGCTCCGGGTCAGTGCACAAGTAGAACGAAGCATGGGTGGGGGTAGTGCTGCTCCATGCTTCGCGGAAGCCCGTTGGGAGGTGAGTGGAGCTGTGTTGCACCGGAACCGCGATGCTTGAAATATCATAGTTGCCACGAAGCCTGGAGGGGGCTGATGCTTCGTTTTGGCCTGCTAATTTGTGTTTGTTTATTTTTCCTGGGTTGTGCGCTTCTTTTTGCTTTTGGGTCTGCGGGCTCACCTTGTTTGTTGCATGCACAACAGGAGAAGGGGGGTGGCCACAAAGCCTGGCTTTCGTGGATCTACGCTCAGTGCGCAAAAGGTGTACCTTCATATAGCCCATCGTGGAAAACAACTTGTTGTGGTAAGGAAACAAAAGGATTCTTGAAGGAAACCTGATTGAATAAGTGTTCTGCTAGTCCGAACCTGTTCTTTTGCCAAACGTCTTGTGCATGCCAATTCTGATTCCAATCACAACAGGTCAAAGAAGGTTTCAAAAGAGCTACCCAAGGTTACCTGAGAAACCCACCACCACATCCTTTGGCACTCTGTGCTCTGACGGCATCCTCCAAGCTCCTGAAGTTTGGAATGAACATCTTCATTTGTGATGTCAAACGTATCCTCTGAAATCCCAAGACAATGAAGTACACACAGTCCTTAATAGCCGCACTACCAGTAGTAACGCGCAGCCTCTCGAGGAACCGTCGTCCGTATCGCGTCCCTCGCGCACCTCGCAGCGTCTGCAGGTGCCTGAACTCTTGCAGCTCTCCAAAGCGCCGTGCCTGCGCCGGAGCTGGTTGTGGGGGCAGATCCAAAAGCAAGAAAGTGATACCGAAAGCACATCTATCTGTGGCATCTGATTGACACATAGTAAAACAAACTATTATGAATTAGCAAATGATGATTGTGAAACCCGGGATTGCTATCGGTTTAGGTCCTTTGGGGGATGACTTGACAGCAGCTTGTGGAAGCTTGTGGAGGGATCACTGGCTGCGTACAACATACTATATAGTGGACCCAACAAGTCGACTATGGGTCAAGGTTTTGAGGGGGCTGACTGTGGTTGCCGGTGCTAATAGAGGCCTTCTTCAAGAGAACTGATCAAGAACCTCGGAGCTAATTTATATACCATGGCCAGTTCCCCAAACCTTTTATTGAAGTGGAGGATCAAGGATCTCCAAGCCAGATTACTTGCGTTCCAGACCTTTTCCCAATGCGAAAAAGATTGATCCATTCATGGGCAGCACTCGCTACAGTTGCAGTTTCCAGTCGAATTCAATGAATGACATTAGACCTGCTGCAAGCATATTTCTACGGTATTTATTTGGAACTTGTCAAAGTATGTAAATGGATCAAAATTGAATCAACATGTATTTCACACAATATATTAGGGCTGATGTCCTATCTCTTCAAAAAACTCCTGGTGGGCCGAATGAGTTGGCTAATCCCTTTGGAGGTGGCTGCTAGGGTATTGGTTTAAACTAGACATGTCCTGGGTCCTGGATCAATCTAGTCCTTTCGATTTCGAAGCACTATGAAATCCAACAAGCAAACAAACAAACAATAACAACCATATTCCCAGGAGGTCTCAGCAGGTCGGACCTTCCGTTTAATCCTGGACCACGAGGACGACGAAAACCAACCACGCCAGACTTCGGCCACGAAGTCTGTCAAGGCAGGTGCCACAGCGAGAAGATGAGTAGTACTGACAAATGAACAAATGAATCAAATGTACTGACAACATCTCTTGCAACATGGGACTGGTGAGAATAGCAAGGTGTGGATGGAAGCCTACGCAGGGTGACATGACCCACAGCTACCTCATCTAAGTTCAGCGTACTGGAATCTTTCATTGGCATGCCTTGACCGGGCAGGCACTTTGGTAAAAGTCACTCAGATCTGGCAAGTCCGTCCATCCTGCCTTCAAATCCATTTGGTTCCACGATGTTCCCCGCGCAACGTCATTGCCGGTGAAACCGTGAGGATCTGTGAGGTGTGTCTTTCACCGCAAAGCGATATGTTTGAAGTTCTGTGTTGCATGAGGCAAACACTCTCTGAGACATGTGATGTCTATCTTTTGAGGCAAACTCTTTAAGACTCTCTTCAACATCAGTTTTCGGCTCGGCTCGTTCGACCGCGCCTGCCGGCGACTTTTGAACGTGTCCAAGGGGTACAAGATCAGTTTGGTGGCCTGAAGCGACCGTTTTGGGCGAGGTTCTTTCCTTCCGCTTTCTTCGGATCGACAAACACGGTACTGTTTCATGTGATGTGAGCACAAGGTACTGTTTCCATCCGTCGACTTGGGATTGTTCATGGGTAACTAACTGTCTTTCTAAGTATTGCGGTCTTCAATCCTCGTCACCAATGGACCAGGTTCATCTTTCAATTTCGACCATCCTTCATCTGCCTGCCCGGCTCACGTCACAGATCACGGATCTGCAAGAACAGGTGTCCCTGATTTTGTTGAATGACGTTCGCTTGCATGCTTCTTAGGTCCTTCATTTCCTCGTCCATCAGGTTCATTGAATGCTGATTGAACATTGAACCTTGAAAATCCTACAGTGACGGCACTGGGTAGAGCCTTGGTTGAAGAACAGGATCCAAATATATGGCCAAGGCGTTTGAAAGAATCTTGGAATGGGGCTCACTTCTCTGATCTCTTTGGGGATTCTGCAGTGAATCATATATTGGCTCAACCTATGAGTCGTTCCGAACCTGTGTCTGTGCCTTGCTTGAATTGAGCTGGTGCGTCCGAGCGACGGAATCTCAGAGGTGGATTGTTAGACTGTCTTCGAAAGGGTTTCTATGGGTTTATTCGGTTCATTCTTCATCTGGGTTGGCTAATTATTTAGATTTGGCATGATTCTGCGATTGATGATGTGACTTGTCACACATGGGTTGACTTGAACATGTAGATGTGTATTAGCTTCTTGTTCCTAGTAGCTTCTTGTTACTACTAGTAAGGCACTTGTTACTAGAAGCGATGCACTTGTTACTATGCTTCCCTGGCTTTCTCATGAAATCACCAACTGAGCCCTCCGACTCCTTTGGCCGTGCTGCCTGCGAGCGCCTGCTGAGTGGCTGAAAGCCTGCTTGAAGACAAACGTCGATGGCGGCCGTTGATGCCGTTGGCTCAAGGATGCGAAGACAGGAGGCAGCTCTTGGTAGGTTGATATGAGCTCTTGGCAGCTTCTTGTTCCTGGTAGCGTCCGATCGCTCCTAGTGGACATTCTGCATTCATTCAATCATGGCCAAAGGCGCCGAAGGAGTCTGTCTTGGACCAAGCACCCCAAGGATTTCAGTCTTACGTCCCACAACTTACGACGAAGCTTGGTCTTCAAGGACCAAAAACTGCACATGGGCAGCCTTCAGGTTCATGTCCACCCGGAAGACATCTTTGGACGCCAAACTCATTTTTGTGGTCGCAGGCTGGTGGATGTCTGTTGTTTTGGTGTCCCTTTCATAAACTCCTTCCAATTTCCCTCGAGATCCAACCACCTGAGAAGGTCATGCAACCCCTTAAACCACCCGAAAGAAATCGCACATATCTTATCAGTAAGTGATTACTTATATAGATCCCTATGAGCCTATGGACCTATAAGGTGACAGGTGTAGAATTCTGACGCTTTGCAGTTCGCCACAAAGCGAACAAATTGTGCTCTTTCAAAGTCACCCCAGCGAAACTCACACTGAACCTCCTGATTAGGGACTCCAATTTTCCTACCCCAGCGCCATCCCTGACTCACAACGGGTTTGTAGTCGATCGGTGACACCCTGGCACAACTGATCATCGCAATCGCGATCATTGGTTCAGACCCACATCCCACAACCCTCTTTGATTGTTCCCTGAGCATGGTGCACTCCTGTTTGTCCAGCGAATTGGGTTTACTCTTTTCACACTGCTTTGGAGACAAGTGGGATCAATCTGTCCAACCCGCGTGTACCACAAGACAACACCGATACACTTCGGCCTCACATCGCTCGCAGGTGTCACAAAGTGCGATGACCTCGGCACTGTTGTTTTCATCTGATCTGTGAAAAATCAGGAGGAATCTAAAAGCCAAACACATCTACCACTAGGGGCCTCCACCGGTTCTGAATAAGCAATGTATTCCGGGCATGTTGAAAAAAATAACACGCACAAATTCAATATTAAGGAAAAACCCATGCATTTTCTCAAGTTTCCGGATGGCCTGCAAATTGCGACAAGAACCCCAACACATTTGCTAACAAACGACTTACTTTTGTCAACTCTGTGGGGGATGGGATCTTTCGTGGCCCGGTGGAATGACCCTACTAACTGTCTGTATCTATTTGTTCTATCAATCCTCTTTACGGCACTTCACTGAGTGAATTTTATGGTGGTCAGAATGCCTGGCAGGTCTTGGAATCATAAACACTCCTGGCAGCCTTCCTGTCAGATGTTCACCCCGCTGGCATGGGTCTCTTGAGCTGGTTTGGCAAATCGGGATGTCCGTCGTGTCCAAGGCCAAGTGTTAACAAAGCAGCTCCAACATAGAACCAATCAGTTGTTTGATCCATGCAGTGTTCCTGGATTACCTCAACTGATACCGCTCTTGCGAGCCTTGATCTAAGTGTGTTTCGCCACAGAGTCCCACTGTGGGCTGTGGTGTGATCCCCAACGAGGGGCGCTGCATGTGCACATGCCCGTAAAGGGTGACCCTTACCTGATCCACCGCCTTTCACTCGATCCTTCCTCGATCCATGGTCATGCACGAGAATGCCGATACTATGCCGCAGGGCGTGCTGAGATCAGAAAACAAAGATAAACAAAGAATGACATACATCTTCATGCGGCTAAGTAATCATAGACTTCAGGCGGGATTGCTAAGCAATCACTTTTTTGGTTTCTTTCCTTCCTGCTGTTGCTCTTCGTTTTTTAAGCCTTTTCTCGTTTTTCTAGAGGCTCTTTTTAGGTGTAACTGAGGCTTTTCAGTCAAGGGTGCGCCGACTACGGCTTTTTGAGAAAATGCCCCGCGGAGTCAAAAAAGACAGTGCGCCGATCCGGCTTTTTTGTGTGTGTGTCACCACCTGTTTCTAAGGAATTTAATTGTACAGTGCAGGGGGGGCAGTGGTCCTTTCAGCAGTCACTGCCTAACAAAGACACTGCTGATCGGATGTGATATGATTCTGGGACGCCAGAATCACGTGCCTGCAGGAACTGTTTAATCCCTTCTTAAGTGCTAACGCGTTTGTTAAAACTTCTTTTCTCCGACCCAGCACTCCTTCTGTTCTGCAAGGCAAGGTCTAGTCTCTGCACCGGTATTGTAATCACTAGAGTGGATTACCTCAACTGATACCGCTCTTGCGAGCCTTGATCTAAGTGTGTGTACACTGTGCCCAAACACACCCAGGCCAAGATTGCGTTGGGCGTGCCACTCATTTCCTGTATCCTCTTAGACATGGGGCGGCGTCTTCTTTGATTTGTCTGAAATCGAAACGCACATGAACTTCTTGTCTGTCAGAGGACCCAAAATCTCTTTGGAGCAATGTCCAGCAAAAACGAGTATCAGGCATATCGCAACCACGGCCATAATTACAAGTTAGCCATCGGTTGACGTCAAGAAAGGAAGTCGTGAGGACGAAATGACATCCGCTTGGGAGAGCGATGGGATGTCCAGGTGGCAGTCGCCTCGGCCTCGGCTGCTATTTTTACGCGGAGGATCAATCTTTTTGCAGGGCTCTGCGTCTGTTTCCTTTGTTGGCCCGCACGTCTTAGACCCTATGTCTTCAAGGGCCGAACTTCTTATAGGGCTGCTGCATGCTGCTGCAATACTTGCCTCCTTGGTCCTTGAGATTCCTGGGAGAAAGCAGATTGCCCTTCCTCATCTGCTCTTCGCAGTGGAACCATACACTCCCCAACAAGTTCAAGGGAACACCGACGGCAGCCTTTTTTGTTAAAACAAGTTCAACAAACAAGCACCAAATCTAGGTCGCCGACGATTCAGTGTCATCACTAACGCTCGACATGTAGAGCACGCATTGCCCGAAAGTGGGCTATAGTCGGCTATGGTATCAGTGATCAGTAGATAGAACGTGTCTGAAGTTTGACTTCAATGTTTACCTAAACTTAAACGCATCGTCGCATCGTGCCAGAATGTTGATGTGACTCCAAAGGCTTTTCTTCAACAGTGAAATTTGCACCATGTCCAAACACCATTGGCGCTTCGTCTGCGTTGATTCGTTGGGGATCACTATTCATTATTCAGAATGCACTGAACGCACTCGGAAAATTGAAATTCAGTACAATAGAAGAAAACAAAGGTCCTGGAAGAGCGACGCCACGTATCTTTGGTATCATATATAGTAGATAGAATATGGGGAATCCCCAAACAATAGGAAACTGGTCATGTTTTTGGATTGGTTTATATTCCAGGATGGTTGTAAACTTAGAGGAGTATCGACCCTATGATCTGTAGGTTTGACATGAGGGGCATTTTATAAAAATGCGAACTGGCCACGTGGGTCATCATGGCTGCTCTGGAGAGTGAGGGCGCATGACCTAGTTTTACTTTTTTGCAGGAGCTGACTGGGGCTGCGGACGCGGAGAGCGGAGAGTCAAAAGAACACCAACACTCACGAGTACTGTTTGTGAACAGCCGATTTCTAGGGGCTCTGCTGTAGACATATAACTCCTCCAACTCATTAAAGACTGGCTCGCACACCGGAACCGGTTTCCAGAGCCTCAGAGGGTGAAAGTAGAGGTCGACCCTTTTCGTTCAAGTAGTATGAAGGACCCGTTTGCTGTCCACCTTGACCGGAAGGCTGTGGCTTTCATCCTGGCACCTATATCATCCTGTTCTTCTTGTTCATACACGGCGCTAAGGTGTTGTTAAGCGCGCAGAGGGGGGAACACAGAAGAACAAAGGAAATAAGGAATAACAAAGCACCGTCAAGTCATCTTGCAGTTCTTGGCCGCAGTCGTTTGGTATGTTCTCCTTTGCTCATTCCCTTGAAGTGTTTATGGAGAAGAATTACTTTCAAATCCAACCTCACCAATTACCAACCACCCTTCTTGAACCTCCAAATTGAAAAGGACAAACTGATTGACAAGGATGCAACAGGTCAAAGCCCCGAAAAAAGGAATATCAACAATCGGAACGAACTATCAGGGGAGGATCAATCTATGCTTTTGAGTGTTTTCCTTTCGTCTCCTTTTGTCACCCTGTTGGATCCCTTGACCCAGACTGCTATACTGGCCAGCACAGCTTCTTTTCGCCGCGTGTCGCTCGAAACGTAAAAAGCCCTTAGGACCTGGCAACAAGATGTTGGGCCTGCTTGTCTCAGATGGTAAATGCTACAGTACAGCCGGCAGGGAATTAATCTATATTGATGAAAAGTGAAGCCCTGCGGGTTTGCAATCTCATCTATATAGATATTTCATTTGGACACCATGGGTCGTCTTGACACAGTGGCCTCTTATACAGCAATGAACAATGGTTGGTACCCAATCTCGCGCCAATGTAGTTGCAAGGAAAGCTGACACATCCCACGCAATTTTCCCGTCGATCCGTCATTTGTAAAGATGGATTCATTCATCCCATTCTTTACCGACCTCGAAAACCCAAAACAGTTTCTCTCTCAAGAGCATGGAGGATTGATTCTCACCACCGGTGGATTTGGCTGGATCGACATCCGCACAGCTCATCTCTCGACTGCGCCATTCCGCCTGAACGAACCCCCGTCTGAGAGTCGTACCTACTGTCTATACAAGTGCACATCTACGCAGTGGAAATGCATTTCGCTGGGCTGTAGCACAACAAACGCCTGCTTCCAAAAATACTAAATACTATCGTATTACTGTCGTTCAATGTTGTTTGGGTTGTTTGGGAACAAACCTTGAACATTGGAGGCTCTGCCTTTGTCTTCGAAAAAGGTCACGAACGTCGTCAGCGCTTGGTCGGAGGCCACAGCCCAAGAAATTGCCACGTCACCGCGCTTTGGTCGGTTGGGCAAGTTCCACCGAAGGGCTAACACACCACGGTCGGTTGATGTGCAAGAAAAGGCAGGTGGGACAAAGGTGAAATTACAAGAGGCGTGTTTGACGACGAGTAGATGACACAAAAAACAAACAATGAGGATGAATGAGGATGTTCAATAGTGAATAGTCTGCCACCCCCCAGTTGAGGAAAAATCATCTTCCTAACCTCCTGTGGCAGTTTCCATGTGGGTTGAGGTAAGCGGATGAGTGGGTAGACGCCCGGGTAAGCGGGTTCATTGAGAAATGCTGGCTCAACTGCCGTCTCACTGGTGCCCACTCACATCCTCTAGTCTCATTCCATATATTTCTAACAATTGTCCTTCCGTAATCCCAAAGAGCTTCTGGATTTGGTTCTCTTATCCATGGAAAGGCTATCATTCCATTAAAAGGCAGCCAGCAATCAAAAACTTCGGCTGGGTGTTTGATAGTCCAAAAAGTAACTATTGCAATCCGACCTGTCCAAAGAACACTCTCCACATTATTTATGGCTTTAAAGTTTAAGGTAGATTGGCTGCTAGCACCCTAGAAACCTCGTAGGATTGCAAAGGGAAAGGAAGGAAACGCACCAACTGCCATGGGTTTTCTAATGCCTGGCGTGGAGAACTTCAGGGTCGAAACACGTCGAAACAGTTCACCCCAACGACCAGGAAGGCACAGCCCTGCCCACCCGGGTCAAATGCAGCAGAGCCGGGTCAAACGCTGCTCAGGTGCTTGGCGCCTTCTGGGCTTCAAGCCACAGCTTCTTCCACAGAGAAAGCAGGTGACTGGCCTCGATGCCATCGGTAGTCTTTTCCGATCGTTTCTCTCGACCGGACTGGATATTTGCGGGTGCTTGGTTAAGTCCCTTGCCATAGCAGCAATGGATTCGTGCTACAGAACAAAAGGTCTCCAAGGGTCTCGGAAGTCTGTGAATCTGTTCGTTCTTCCTTTTTTGGATGCCTGAAAACTAGTTTCGGGATGCTGCGGGACTCATCCATCGCTCAAACTTGTTACAGTGGCTGCCACGATCGAAAGGGGTGAAGAGGCAGACTCGAAACGTTCAGCACACTGCGCGCAACGTGATTGTTTGCGGGGAGAAAGATATCCGCACCTGATGCAAGAGGCAATCAACCCTGGGTGCCAAGGGCCAATGCCATTCACCGGTGGTGTGCACAGCCCAACTCCGCTGTTGATCAAGAATCAATCAAAGAGTTCTGGGCTAGAAAGCCAAAGCAATCTGAACGTCAGCGTGGGTCCCTTTGGCTCCAAAAACCATCTCAAAGGCTACCTGGAATAAACCGGTCTCATTGGTCTCCTCAAAGGGTCGACCGCTTCAAGTGGCTGAACTCCCGACCGCTTCGGGGAACCGGATGCCATCCATGCTCGCTCCCGTCCGCCGTGTGGCCAAGGTTGACACCGAGGTCTTCTTCTCCTTGCGCCACTCATTCACCTTGGCAAATCGCGAGTTGAACTGAGGCCAAAACAGAAATACAAGTATCATCATATATTTACTTGGACGATGCCCCCGGTAGGCAACCAAGTACCCAAACACACAACTTCTGGGGGGAAACATTGGGAGCATGTATAACGGAACAGAATGTTCCAAAGCCAAAGTACCGTCCAAGGATATCTCGTATATTTGGGCATATGAAAACTGCACCATGAATATCTGATATGTTATTGTCAAGAAAACTAACTTTGTATGTCGTGAATACAAATAACTTTGAATATGAATATTGAAAACTAACTATTAACTATGTTGTCAATAATGATATATTGATTCCATGTAAACTAACTTTGTCAAGACACCACGAGGCCGATGCGCGTGTGTTGCAACTCCCGGGCAGTGACTTGGCGGTGCTGGAGGCCCTGCCGAAAGGAAAGGCGTCGCAGATTGGTGGAGCTCGTAGCGTTATTGAAAGAAACACATTGACACCAGGGATTTCCAAGTCACCATGCAATAACCAGGCTTTCTGATTTCGGGCGGCTGGGCAAGCATGCGTTTGCGTCTTACAAATGTGTTTATCATCTATTGATCCACACACCAGGTTTCCCAGCCAAGTGAGCGGTTCATTTGCACTGCACCCGGGAAGACTAACATGGAACCTGAAAATGGACCTTTGGAAGGCTATTTTCCTCTACAACCCAGTGTCTTTCAGGTTCTATGTGAATTTTCCGGAGTGTAGAATGTACCACGTACGGCTCAGTATTCCAGTATTGTGGTTGCGGGCTTCCCTCCACCTGGGCCCTTGAGAGGTCATAGGGGTGTTTTCCTTTCGCATGAAGAATTGCGGCCTTGGTTTCACTCTGACTCACACTTACATGCTCTGGTGGAGAACACCCTGTTTGTAGTGGAATATAGCATTTTGTCGGGTCCATGCCAACCACTCCGAGAGCAGCAAAGTTTGGCAGGTGAAAGCAGAGCATGTTCTCTCCCTGCTCGACATCAGGGACTGGCCTTCAACCAGGCCAGCGCTTCCTTGTGCCCTTTCTTCTCCTCAGTTCATCGCAAACATATTCAACTAAAGGGAGGTTGTGGCAATGGTGAGTCACTCAAGAAGGGGTGTGTCTTCTAATCGGTGGCTTCAGTGGTTGCCTCTAGAATCAGAACCACCCCACTAGTCAATTGGTTGTGGCACAGCGCGCCTCATTGTGTCTCAAGCATGCTTAAGCATTTCTTCGCTTAACCTTTTCTCCGCTTTAACCATCTCATTTTACAGGTAAGACCAGCCTCCCTGCTGAATCGGAAGCATCGAATACGCACTTCGTTGGCACTATTCAGCATGAGCCTAGCAATGACCTCTAAGCTACTAGCAATGGCCTCCAACCTAATAGCAACTAGCGACGGCTAGTAGGTTGGAGGCCATTGCTAGTAGGGTTGGAGGCCATTGCTATTAGGTTGGAGGCCTTTCCTAGTAGGTTGAGGCAATCACTAGTAGGTTGGAGGCCATTGCCATTAGGTTGGCGGTCATCACTATTAGGTTGGAGGGAATCGCTATTAGGTTGGAGGCCATCGCTATTAGATTGGAGGCCTTCGCTAGTAGGTTTGAAGCCATCACTCCTCTACGTACA